ATTACATTTATTTAAAACAACATTCAAAGAATGATTTTGAAAAAAGGTAATAAAAAAAGACGTTTTTGATTTGTATTATTTGATGTATTACTTTTTATTTTAAGAATATTTCCTTTTTTTTTTGGCAAACTGTTAGTAAATATAGTTATAAGTGAATCAATTCTCTAATATTAAATACAATAATGCAAACAAGTTTAAAACGAATACTACATATTAAATTCTTGAAGAAAGATCAAAGATTAAAATATGTAGATATTTATTTTAGACTATGTATGTAACTGTCAAAATGAAAGAAGAATAGATTCTCTTTCTGAAAGAACACTGTAAACTCTAGGATAGAGGTCACGACCCCCAAGCGAAGGGAGAACGATTAAAGGATAAACAAAAGCCATTGGTCACTTTCTTATAACTATCGATACAAAACGTCACTTCCTAGGGGGAGGGTCCGAACGTTGGTTCGAGGGCTGGGATTCCCTTCACCGCTCTCTTCGGGAGTTGCGAGGTTTGGATTTTGTTTTACTATCGGACCTATCGGACGGTGGAATAGACTCCGGGGAATAGTGACGTCACCGTCCGTGTTCGAGGCTGCGAGGTTTGGGGTCCCACTTCATTTAGAGGATTATGTTTCTTCATCGTTTTCACTGGGAAGGGAGTGTGTAGCGTGCTCTATGTTCCCTCTTTAATTTAATTTCCAATCTCTTGTATATATATATATTTGTTTTGTGGTGAGTCGCATCATGTTTTTGTTGCTGTTCCAAAAATAAATTGCTTGTGTTATTTTCTTATTCCTGTCATCATTTATTTTACTTGTTAAAGATTGAAAAATATTGAAGGGAAAATTATTCAGCCTAAAACAGCTCCTTCATGTCCTTGGAAGTAATTTTCATTTTTGTATACTAGTTGACTGGTTTAAACCAAAAAAACCGGGGGTTTTGGTTTTTTGCTAACCCTGCCACAAAGTTCAAAATCCGATATTTTTAATGCGGTATTATTTATTATAAGAAACGAAACACTTGTTTGAGCTTCTCTTTTTTAAAATTCGATCCTTATTTTAGGTTTTACTGCCACGGGTTTTAAGATTTTGAATTTATGTACGAATTTTAATTAATTATTGTTTCATTTATTTACGAATTTTAATTTATGTAATGGATTTACAAAATTCGAAAGAGGAAATAATTCGTGTGTATTATAATAATTAGTCTTACAAAAAGCGAGAATATCGCCTATAATATTAAAAAGGAAATGCATTTATAATTAAAAGAACTTTTAAATATTTTTATTCTATACTTTCTTCTGTCTTTCTAAATACAGTTCTTCTGTTACTTCAAATTAGTAATTGTTATAGTTAAAATTATCTCAAATACTAGTGCTAGGGAAGTTTGTCACAGAAAGCCTGAAAAAAATTCTGCCACTGGGTTACTATAGTTGATAGAGAAAATTTTTAAGTTCAATTTTTTATAACAAAAAGTTGTTCTTTCATTACCTAGAATAAGACCATGCATCAAGAGTTGGGCATTTTAGAGAGACAAGAAAGGATATGTGTGAGAGGTCTACAGGCAAGGGCCATAGAAATGTGTTGATACCTTTAAAAAATTGTTTTAGACTCTTTTATTTATGTTTCACCGAGAACTACTAAACATATTGGTTTGAAAATTATAAATCTTCTCAAATACAATTGTATTTTTATTCTATAAAAATTTTCATAAAATTATTTAGTGCAATGGCTCAAAAAATTTTCTAGGCTTAATGAAAAAAAAAGTGGAATGATTTAAGGTGCTTAGATATTATGGTCTGTTTTTACTTGAAATAGGACCTAATTTACGTTAACACAGTTAAGAAAACAACTTTCATGCATAACTATAATTCATTGCATTAATTCACTTAATATATACCCTTATAAATGAAACATTTTATTAATAGAAAAGAGAAGAATTTTTTTTTGCGTAACTGAATATTTAGCAAGATTGGCCCAAAGCAGAATGTGTGAAGCATGTCCAATAGTGAAATTTGTAATAATTTTTTCAATTTTTTCTCAAATTTCTTTGCTTTTTATTAAAACTACAGAAAAAAAATTTATAAATCTTAATTTTACAATTCAATTAAATTGTTAAAAAATTCAAAATAAAAAATAATATTTTTAAAAACCACGTTTTTGTAGTGGAGAATAATAATTAAAAAAAAATTTGAAAAACGAAAAACGTGGGGCGCATGAAATACATAACAGTAATGTTATAGTTTGTGCATGTGTGCTTTTGAGAATATGTGTATGGTATATCTGTAATTGTATCTGAATGTGGATGTGGAATATGTTTGTGCATATGCATATGTATGTGGATGTATATGTGGCTGTGCATGTGTATGAGTAAGAAAATGTGTACATGTATGTGTATATATACTGTTATGTATTTCATGCGCCCCACGTTTTTCGTTTTTCAATTTTTTTTAATTATTATTCTCCACTACAAAAACGTGGTTTTTAAAAATATTATTTTTTATTTTGAATTTTTTTATTTTAAATTATAATTTTTTTAATTTTTATTTTATATTTTTTAAAAATTATTACTTTTCAATTATTATTCTTCACTACAAAAAACGTGGTTTTTAAAAATATATATTTTTATTTAGATTATTTTTCTTAGTCAAGAGTAGTCAAGACTACTACAAGACCACTACTAAAATAATAGAACTTTCATTTTAAATTAGGGATACAAAAATCTTTATAGAAAAACAATACCTTTACGACTTTCATTAGTTTTATGCTGATGACAACCAAAACAATCTGGAAATGAATGAGGAAAAACTGGATCCTACCACGTGATTTTTCAGCCAATAAAAATACTCCGACAATAAAAATCTTTTCACCTGACATGTAATACTAATTTGAAATAATGGAATCGACAACAAAAGACAATCTCGAAAATAATTTTTTTTTTAAATTTTAATTTTATTTTACTTTGTATGTCTTTTTTCTCTTCATTTTCATGCATTGTCATCCAATTCTGAACTATGTGCCAAATTTGAAGTTTGTAGCTAGTCGGGAAATTAGTTTAAAATCGATTACAAAATTCCACCCGGACAGACATACATGAAGGCAAGTTTATATAAACATGGTAAAATGGAGGATGGATTAGTTTTATAGATGTCGTTAACCCTTAACAATCTGAAAATATTTTTAAAAAATTCTACCCGGGTTTGCAAAAATTGTCTGGTCCTACTTTGAGCCCTGTTAATTAATACAATTATATCAGTACTTACATTAAAAAATTTGTTTATTATTTTTTTATTTGTTGATTTTCTTTTTAAGAAAGGTAAATAATTTATACTGTCACTTGTGGCGCATGCATATTCGATGATAAACAATCATACTATTTTTAAAGTCCTCAATTTTTCAAAAAAAGTGCTTAAATTGTTAATCAATACAATTTTATTAGTGCTTACATTATAATAAAATTGTTTTTTAGTAATTTTTTATTTATTGATTCTTTTAGGAAGTTAAATAATTTGCACTGTTGCTAGTGTCATATGTATATCAGATGATAAACAATCATACTATCTTTAAAGTCCTTAATTTTTCAAAAAAATACTTAATTTTTTTCATTAAAAAAAAGTTTTTAAAAGTGTTTAATGTTTGCTTTGTTGAAAGAGAGGGAACCCTGTTATTATATGTAATTAGAGTTTTACTCATAAAAGTAGTCAGAATGCATATAAACAAATTAATACTGGTGAAAAACCTTATTCTTGTAGTAAATGTCATAAGAGTTTTTCAAGGAAAAGTAATCTGACTGTGCACAGTCGTTCTCGTACTGGTGAGAACATTTATTCTTGTATGTGTAATAAGAGTTTTTCATATAGGCGTAATCTAACTAAACACAATTGTACTCATACTGGGGAGAAACCTTATTCTTGTAGTATATGTAATAAGAGTTTATCAGAAAGAAGTAATCTGACTGTGCCCAGTCGCTTTCATACAAGTGAGAACTCTTATTCTTGTGGTATATTATAACCTTGTACTTAAAATTGTTAATGGAATGGTCTCCTGTTATTTAAGATTCACTTATTTTTTTCAGGGCAGAATGTGGCGAACTGAACCATATGCGGTAAATTTTGGGGTTACCGCATGTAAAGAACATAAAATAGACACTCTTTTATGCCAATCCCTGCCAATAGGAAGAATATGCATGAACCAATCATCTAGCGGAAGTGGTCAAGTAAGATATCAAGGGAACCCAGTAAAGCTGACAATTCATTCCACTTTTGAAAATTTCCAGGCGAATGTTCCTGATAATGAAAATGTTGCATTTTTTCCATCCCCAACGTGGGAAAAGCCGGATTTGTTCAACGAAAGTGCAGTGGCGGATGCCTTCAGGGCGAACATATTAACACCATTACAAAGTTACTTCAGATCATTCCAAGTGTTCAGAAATGTATCCCAACCCCCATCCTATTTGTTTACACCTGACCTTATAATAAGTGATATTAAAAATGTCCCCATCATGTGCATAGAAATAAAACCCTGTAATACATTCTGTACAGCAGATATCACTAATTTTGATGTGATGTCAGAAATAGATAGGATAAAAATTTTAGCTGAAAATACCCCTCTTCCTAATGGTATTTTACCAGAGGAGTTCTTAAAATGCCCAAGACGGCAGAAGGTAGGAGGCAAAAGTGAATCTTTAGGCCTCTTCAATTTTAGGTGCTCTTTAAGACAGTTAAAACATTTTTTGTTTAACATGAATGTTACGGTAGCATTTGGTATGCTGTCCTCTTATTGCCATACTTACTTGGTAATACTACATCGTGATCAAGAAAATAAATCCAGCGAATTAAGAGTTTCTCCAGTATTGAAATTTAATGACAAAACTGTTCTACGAAGAATAGCTGAATTCATTCAGTTTGCAATTTCAAGTGTCCAAGAACCTCTTCTAAGAGAACACCACACATTAACGCCCTCAAAATTTTTTTTCTCAGATTGTAAAAAGGGAGTAATCAGGAAACGTGGTGAGAAAAGGAGGAAGAAGGATGATATTAAAGGCACAGGAAAAAAACCAAGTAAATCTACTTATACAGGCCACTTCGTAACACTAGGAAACGTCATAGGTAATGGAAGAACAGGCACAGTCTTAGAACTATTTGATGAAAACAAAAAATTATATGCTGTAAAATTTGTAGAAGAAAAATCAGTTGAAAACTTGAACCATGAGCTGGACAATGAATTATACAATGAAGAAATGATCTATGACATCCTTATACCATTACAAGGTGATGTGCTACCTATTATTTATATGTCAGGTTTACTTGATGGATGGAAACATGTAATAGTAATGGAATATCTGGAAGCAGAGTCTATGAATAAAGTGGTCCATCTATCTGAAGAGCAAAAAACCGCCGTCATCGCGGCATTAGACAAAGTCCACAAAAGGGGGGTATTACATGGTGACATCAGAGAAAATAATATTCTGTTGCATAGGAATAACCACAGACAAGCCTACTTGATAGACTTTGGCTTCGCATCAAAATGCAACACCTTAAATGATTTTATTGAAGAAAAACTCGAACTTATGAATCTTCTCGAACTCAAATAAAATGTCTTGCATTAGAAAAAAACTAAAGTATGAAGCATATAAAGTTTATACTGGCTAAGCTGAAAAGTAAATCATCAAGAATTGTGTGAACACTTGTTGTGGTGGCACTTAAAATGATTTTGAAAACAGCTTCCTTTGTAACAACTTCACTTTCCTTTTCATTCAAATATATTTTAACAGATGTTCATTATCTGATTTTTTGAGTCATGGTATTTTTAATGCCAGATTTGTAAATTTGTTGAACATTTTCATGGGATTTAAGTATGTCTCCAAAGTCATTGTCCTTAAAGAAATCTGTTCATATATCGAAACCTTGCTTACTTAAACATTTTATCCTTTGTCCTAACAAAGCATTTATGAAGATATACTGACACAGTCTGTTTTCTTTGGTTTTTGTTTTGTAGTTAGTTATATAAATTATGTGTTATATTATATAGCTTGTGTTATAAATATATATATAACTGTATAAAGTTTAGTGTATACTTAAGAATAATCATTTTTTATATAAAATTAAGTTATACGTGAAACAGGTTAATTTTACTTATTTTTTTTTTTTTTTTTTTTTTTTTTTTTNTTTTTTTTTTTTTTTGTCCAACTGTCTGGCTGGAAAGCAAAGAGTGCAAAGTATTTTTGTATGTTTATTGAAGAATATTTTATGATAAAAAAAAAATTGTAAAATTTGCACTTAAGTGTATATGATATGAAAAAGTGTATATGATATGATATGATTGAGTGTATATGATATGAAAAATAATGTTTAAAACAATTTAATTCTTTAAACTTTGCACACTGTTAGACAATGAACTTGAACAATTTGTTTCAACTAAACAATAAAGTTAAATTTTCATTTATAACTTTCACATCACAAAATAGATCTACTTCATTTCAAACAATCCTGCACTGAAATAGTATTAAGTCTATACTTTAAGTATTTGTGAGAAATATGGAATCAAAACTAAATTAACCGAATAATTTAGCAATTAACAGAACTTTTCATTTTAAAATGTAGTTAAATTGAATGCTAGATAAGTAAAAACATTGGCGAAAATTTAATTTCAAACAATCTATATTTTTTTGTTCTAAAGCAGTAGGATTGTAAATTTAACAGATTTGGGTAACACATAGCTAAGTTTGCTCACATTTTACCGACGGAGAAAAATAATAAAAAAACATTACTTTTCTTCTTTTCACCAGTTTGTTCAGCCAGCCTAGCTTGAGCTTCTCTGTTCAATTGTTCCGCTAATTCTTTTTGATGATGTTTCCTTTTTTCTTCTGCCGATTGTTCAGTGTAAATCCAAAATGGACAATATATTTGTGATATTGCGCATATTTTTTTCTCCTTTTCCCATGTTCACTCAGAGTACTTCCCAAAAACACAATTGGTCAAAAAATGGTAACCAATTTACAAAACAAAAAAACATTTATTAAAAATGGTAAAAGATGAAGTTAGAAGAAAATTAATATAACCAAGACACTTAAACAATTCACTAGATATGCAAATAACTATGATTTTTCTTTACTCTGAACTTAACGCAATATAGATAGGGAAAAAAGCAAACTTTTAAAACTATAATATAAGAACTTATTCATTTTCTTAAAAAAAGTCAATGAAAATAATTACTCTTAATTTTGAATCCAAAATAGCAGTTAGTTCGTCTTCCACGGACTAAGGTTTCTTCTTGTATAACAGGTTCTACTTCTTCTTCCTCATCATCATCCTGGAATTATAATAAATCTTTAAGTAATTATGAACAATATTACAAACTTGTGAACAAAAAATTATAAGAGAGAGAAATACTAATTATACCTTTAGTGCAATTGCAATATTTTTTTAGCTTTTTCTTATTTGTCAGTATGTACAAGGTTGACCCAAAAACGTAAAAAAAAAAAATTTTTTTAACATATTATTAAAAATTATATTAAGAAATTCATACAAGACAAACCTTATCATCTACCGACAAGTATTTGGAGACACGTGTAAATAAATATATCAGCGGCTCCATCTATGTCACACCTTTTGTACTTAAATATCACATAGAAAACAGCATTGGCATTAGATACAACGAAATTCAGAGGTGTCCGACTTTGAGAAAGGTCAATAATTGTAGGATATCAGAGAAATGGCTTATCCTGAAGGGACATAGCTAGTGAGTCAAACATAGCAAAATCGACAGTGGTTTTGTGATTAAGCGGTGGAAGGTGAGTGGTGATCTTTGGATCTTCGACTTGGCTGACCCATGAAACTAACACATAGACACAAACATGTGCTCGATGAAGAAATTTGGGAAAACTACATCAAACCCAGGAGTTCTAGCAAGCATTCGGGACTATTGTTTATACCACCCATAAGAAAGAACATTTGTTTAGTGTCCAAGATTGTGCCACTGTTTATAAGCATAAACCTTTGATTACAAAATCCAGCAGCACTGCTCAGTTGAAGTGGTGTTGGATATGTCAAAATTGCACCATAGATCAGTTCTCTAGAGCAATGAACCAAGATTCAATCTCCCTCAATCAGATGGAAATGTCTGGTTTTTGTTTATGCCTGGAGAACGCCTTTTCCCAAAATGCATTGAACTTACACAGGGTGGTAACTTATAAAGTGTTAACTACTTATAAAGTGTAGGATGTGTACAAGAAAAGTGTCTATATTATTAAATATGTCATTTTTTTTAACATCACCTTAAAGAAAAAAATTATTTTATTTTTTTATGTTTTGTAGCAACATTAATTAAAAGAATTTAAAATATGTGGAGAAAATAATATGTTTAGCTTGTCAAACATATTGTTTTTATGGAATAAAATATTTTTAATGTGTTACTTTAAGTAGTATTCGCTCAAAGTGTACCTATAAAATGGTAAAAACAGAGTGACCAATAAAACCTCGGATAAGTAGTGTTCAATATCTTTTCATTTAGCAAAGGAAAACCGTTTAAGATAATTATGTATCAATAAACTTTTATAATTACAGTGGTTCCCAAAAGTATTTGTTCACTTTTAGCTTTTATTAAAAATTCATTAATTAAAATGAATATTTCACGATGGGTATTTGATAATAAGATGTATAACCGATTCTTAGCAAAACTGCATGGAATATTTTAAAAATGAAGCAAAAGTTAGTTTTTAAGATATCAATAATCAAACAGTAACAAAACTTTCACACAACGAAAGTCATTGTACAGTTAAAGGTTTTCGGTATTTCAGAATAAACATTATCGTCAATTGATTTAATTTTTTATTTAATCATTTATTTGCAATTTAGTATTAGTAGAAAACTTATGATAGCAGAATTATATTTTAAGTTTTGCTTGCTAATTCCGTAATATTTTATTTTATCACTTAAAAACAGTTTGTGGTCGTAATAAAACAATAGACCAAATTTGATTATTTTTCATCATAAGAGGTAAATCAGTAATAAATATGTTAAATTAGCTTATTGTTAAATTACACTGTGCAATATGTGATAAAATGCTTAAAAGAAGAACTACATATCAGAGATTAAAATTATAAAATTTGCGGAAAATTCATAAATTCGCAATTGAGTGTTGTAAAAGCTTCTGTAAAAATTTTTAAAAAATATTCTGCACGAATTTTCTATGACAAAAAAACTAGTTACATGCATTTAAAAACTTATAAAAGCTATTGTATATGAGAAGAAAACTCTACTAAATGTTAATTCAATGAAAAATTAGATCATTTACTAATAAACAAGTGCTTTTTTGTTTTTTTTTTTTTGAAAGTGTACAATGACTTTTACGGAATATAGTTTTTGTCACATATTTGATGATTGATTTCTTAAAAATAAACATTTCCTTTGTTTTTAAAATATTTCACAGTTTTGTTAAGATTGGAATACATATTTTGTAATTAAATATCTGTTCTGAAATATTCATTTTAATTAATGGTTAGTCTTTTTTCATTGAAAGTCATAAGTGTACCAACACATTTCTGAGTCACTGTAATTACATTTCAATATAAAGCTGTACTGTATACTGCATTATATTGTATTTTTTCTTACCAGTACTTTTTATAAAATTCATTGATCATATTTTCTTTAAACCAATATCTCAAGTCAAAGTTTTAAATAATGTTGTTTTGAATGAGCATTATTATTTTAAGAGATTCAGTTTACAGAAATAAATGTCACAAATGTAAAATTGTCAATTTTTTGTTCTATACTCTATAGAAAAATAATAGATAAAATTCTTTAAATTTTATATTTTTCGATTTTTTTTCTTATTTGAAATTAAAACATTTGAAGAATTCCAATCTAAACACACAGTTTTTTAGTTTGCCATAGTTAATTGTTTTAACCACTAGAATCTTGAACAGCACATAAGTTACATTTTTCTTCTTCCGACTGAACACATATGAATTAAAAATACAATATATTTTATGTTTATTTATACATCATTTAATATGTTTCCTATATATTCCCTACTCTTTGTCAGCTTTTTAGGGTAAAAGGAGGCATAGTTTTGGAAATATCATCCCTGGAATGCAAGCTACATTTACGAACTTATAGTGATAATTATACAATTTGAATTAAAATTCAAACATTTACCAACAAAACAGTAAAATTAAATAATAGTATATAGTTAGTTCTAAAAAAAACCTCCTTTTTAAATTAAAATATGTTTTAAAAGGTTAAAATGAAATAGAAAAAATTAGCATTAATGCAACAATTTGTCAACAAACATTGCTGTTCAGTGATTGTAAAGAAATGTGAGATTAGTTAGCTTGCTGACAAAAAATAATTTACAGATTTCTTTGAATGGGAACACAAAAGCTTTCAGAAAAAGAGAGCACTATAAAATCTATTATTATTAAATTATAACAAACTAATTTTTGGAGAATTTAATTAAGTTAAAAATACAAAAACATTTTGACTCATTCTATCAAAATAGAAAAAACCTACCACCAAAGCATCAGAACAAACTTGAGCTATAAATGGGTTCACCCCACAGACAGAATTTTAAAACAGAAGCAAATATCCTAACCACATCTAGCACAATCTTTGCCTTTCTTAAATTACAGTTCCATAGAGATCAAAGGTTTCTACATTTTTGTATAGAAACCATGAGAGAATTTGATGTGACATTCTAGTTTAACAGGGTTATAACGGAGCAAATATTGATGCAAGCAAAGTATAGCTAAGTAAGTTGATGACATTTTTACTTTTTGGAGATATATTTCCATCTAAAAAGTGTGGGTATAATAGATGAAATAATTTAAATTAAGAAAATTAGTAAATATTTTAAATTAGTGAAATTAAAAAAATATCTCAGAAAAAATTTCCAGCTTTTCTTTAAAATTCCCTGATTTTTCCAGATGGGTGGCCACCCTGTTACAGTAAAGTTAGGCAAAGATGGAATGATGGTGTGGGGATGTTTCTCACAGCATGGATGGGGACTGTATCCCAATTCATTGTAAGCTCAATGCAGACTGCTATTACAATGCAACAACATGCTATTTTACAGCTTATCCTAAGCTGTTGCAATTTTACAGGTTGGATCAGCCACTTGTCTTGTAGAGAGGTCCATCATGGATTGGTATGATGACAATCAGGTTAACTTTATGGACTGGACTCTCTAGAATTCAGACCTGAATCAAATAGAAAATCTCTGGGATGAGCTGGATCACAAAATTAATGAGTGCATTAACCATCCATCATTGGCGAAAGACCTTGAAAGTCTTCTCCAAGCTGAGTGTAAGAAAATATCCTTGTTCATCATCCTATCAATTGTGGGAAGCGAGCCTCAGAAGGTTATGATGCTTAATTGCCTCATGTATGGACTATCAACTATTGGATATGAATAAATTGTGTTTATTACAGGTGTTCCTATTACTTATTGGTAGATAGTGTGTCTATGTTAAAAAAAGGGAAAGATAATGTTTCACTTTACATGTATGAGAAAACGAAAACTATCTTGTATAGATACACAAACTTCATTAACTACTACAGTATCTCCAATAAACAATGCATACACTTCAGTTTTGTCATCAACCTTTTTTTCTAAATTTGAAGTGAACTTTTCATTAAATTATGTGGTTAAAAAAAACCTTTTACTGAAAAAAGAAAATAGTGTTTTAAACGCATGCACTACAGGCAGCCCATCTAAAAACGTTAAGGGCACTGTTTCATATTACACAGATGACCAAAAAATATAATTAAACATTACACATTTTAATGATATTAAATTTAATGCCTTCTTCAACTATTTACAAATGACAGAATGAAATACATGAATATTCAGTCTTCTGCTCTTTCAGGAGGTGGACCAGTAGGAGTTAACATTTTCTCAATTAAACTGAAACGTATGCGCGCTTTGGATTCATTCTCAGCAATGGCAAAGAAATTCAGCATATCATGATGAGCCATGAAGGATGCAAGGCTGTCTCTGTGTTGGTTTACAATCCATTCAAACTTTGAAGTATCTGCATGTCCAGTGCCTATGTACTTGGACTGCAAGTGCTCTAGCTGAGAGAAGATATTGTAACGTTCACCCATTCTGCCCCTATGAAAAGAGAACTAGTTAAAAAATAATTTAATTTTGTAACACAAGTTCACTTTAATATAATACACGCTATGTTGTAGAATTTTAGATATACAGAACAGTTATTTTAAAATTTTCTAACCAGATTAATCATGATAGTTATTGTAACTACAAAGTTTTTAATTATAAATATTTACTATTTGTTAGCTTTATTATAAATTTTACGAATGAATCAGTAAAAAAAAACAATACAAGCCTGGATTAAATAAACAATAAATACTTATTGACTATGATCTTTACTGGCAAATTTTATAAATGAAAGCCAAAATAAAGAATGGTACAGGACTAAAGTGTAGAAACAAGATCAGAGATCAAGTTTTGTTACTTAGTAGACTCAATTATACACAATTTACTTACGCATAACTAATTAATAAAGTCAGCAAAAAATTCCTCTACATAATATAGCACATCATTCTCTTGTCAAAATTTCCGGCAGTAGCCCGTTTGCTGTCAAAATGTGACTTAATCAAAGGGTATAAATCAAGGCCATCCCAAGCAAACCTCTACAAAAAAAAATTTCCTGCAAGTTAAAATCCCTACTAACATGGAAATATCCCCGTATCGAGCTATGCCTAAATACTTTGGACAGTTTTGATATGTTAATAACAATAAATAGGAATTGACAGAGTTACTAGGACTTGGAACAAGAAAATTTAGTTAATTGTAAATTTCTTACTAAATGAATTTTTTCCTATTTAAGAAATAAAGTAGAGAAATTGAAGTAGATTCATACACTGAAATTTACAAATTTTTCCAATTTACAAGAAGCTTAATGAACTGGTTCAATAACATTAAATAAAACTATTAAGATAATAGTACAGAAAAAGTTTTCAAAATAAAAAAAAAATGGCTGTATATGTGCAACAATCACTTCGCTGATATCCAGTCGTTACTTATCATTCTTTGAAAGAAACTACAAAAATCCATTCTTTACAATTAAGACTAATGATTATTAAAAAATAGGAATAGGATAGCTGTGACAAGAGAGAAATTATATGGTTAAGTGTTTAAGATAGAAATTTTTAATCATCAGCATAGAATTTAAGTTTTTTCAATAAATTATAAAAGATATAACTAAAGAAGTAATTAAATTTATTTGAACTGCTAATTGTTGGAGATTTCTTACCTAGTTAATAGTATAAGCAATTACTGTTCAACTTACAAAAGATAGTTAAAATTTGTAATTGCTTGTTGGGTCGTTGCTGAAACAAAATTTCTGTCTTTTTTATTAAGAAAATGTTATCAGCTTATAGCTTGCATGAAATAAGAAAAGAAAAGCTCAATAATTCGTCAATTCAAGAGATTTTCTACCGGCCGCTCAAGATCTTTAAGATGATTGGTTGACATGAATTTCTTTTTCATGTATTAAGATCAATTAAAAAGAATGCATTAAAGCACTTTTATACTTCCTCCCACTTTATTTTAGTTCATATATGTAAAAAGATGTCACTTTTAATTAATTTATTAATTAAACTAAATCGTAATTAGATCAGCTGTATGGATTCTAAACTTCCGGTGACGCCATGTTTATGGTATGACGATTGACGAGACGGAGCTAGTGTCAAAATTCCGATGAAGAAAAACATTTTTACAATTTTAACTGATTAATTACATCTATTATTAGCTAAAAGTAGGTTTAACTTTGTATTTTTTAACAAACACTTTATATGAGGGTTTAATACATGAATGATAAATCTAATTTGCGTATTTATAATGAAAATGTCTTAAAGCTGTAACATTTTTGTCTTTTTATTAAAAATAATCCATTTTATTTCTATTCTTGTTCATTTTGTTATATCAATTCATAGTTGTTGTTTTTTTTTATTTGAGAAGGAAAGAAAAAATGTAAGGGTCATTCCTCGGGATGAATGCTTTTGGGCGTGTGATTCATAACAATGACTTGTTTGTTTGTGCCTAACAACTTAGGTGGGGAATTTGTTTGTTCTTTTTCTTCTCTTGAACTCTCATTACATGAGTTTCTGTTTATTTTATTTTCAGTTTGTGACGATTTAGTTTTCACACCTTGAAAGATGACTACAGATATTAATTTAGGTTCTGTCAACTTGAAATGGGATCCAAAAAATTTAGAAATTCGGACGAGAACTGTAGAAAAAACTCTTGAACCATTAGTTATACAGGTATGTTTGTGAACTTTTTATAATATTTCCGATCTCAATCCTGTAGATTATTAATATAAATACGTTGACATTAGAAGATGGTGGAAATATCAAACTTTAATATAAATGTCTTGCATGTTTATAAGAATGGTAGAACATATGAGTAAGGTAACAATATTAATGTTGGTTACATATAAATAAGATGTCAAGAATTGGTCACATCCTATAAGTTAGCGAGATTTCATCATCAATTGTAAGGTAATAATTGAATTAAATGATATTTTTCTACCTTTCTGTTAGCAAGACACAAGTAAATGCAGCATTTTTTTAAATTTTTATTTTAGGAGGTTACTGTAATTTTCAAAAGAAAACAAAAAGTTGAATTATTTACTTGTTCTTGTCCTACAGAAATGTACCAATACTTGTAGCATATAATAACTAAACAAAGTGAGTAGATAATTTGCAAAATTAAATTATGAACTTGTGCTATTGTTCATATTTTTATTCATTGAACTTATTTTTTTAATTGTGTTACTGCATCTTCCTAATTTTAATTTAGATTGAATTTTAGAGAATATACTCTAGCATGTTTTTTAAATTACGAAATTAAAATCCTAGTTCTTTTAAGTTTTATTCTATTAGTAAGCTGTTATAAATGATATATTTACATGTCAAATTCAGTGAATCAATTATAATTATTAAATTACAAATGTATGATTCAATTATAGTTCATAAATACAATATTAAATTATATATTTAATTGTTTATTTAGCATTGTATGTTATATTACAAAATATTCATTTTTTCATTACATGCAGCTTTTGAATCCAATAAAGGTATAGTAGTATCAAAATTAAGTATAAAACTAGTATGTATATATGTGTTGTATATTAAAAATCATTAACTTTTTTTTTTAATTGTTCCTATGACTCTTATTTCTTATTCTTCTTATATTTTCTTTAAGTAACCTTATAACTGTTTTGATATATAATTCTTTTACTTTATCCAATCATTTGTTGCAAATTATGATTTTGTAATAAAATTCATAATTTATACTGCATAAAGTGCTTTTTTCTTTATATATGGTTCTATGTTTCAAAATAAGGTGATTAGTAAATAATAGGTAACTTAAGCAATTAAGAATGTTTTTTTTTTTTTATGATTTTAGTTGCAAAGAAAAAAAATAGCAATCTTATAAATTAATATCAAAGGAGAAATAATGTACTAAAAAGGTTTATAGTCCAATAAAATTATATACTATTTGAGCAGTAAGCGAATTATTAGTATTAAATAAGTTTTTAGAATCCAGTTATACTTAATATTGTATTACGTTTTGGATTATGTTCCGCTTCATATTTTAACATCAGAAGTCAAATTTTCTGATGTATCTTTAACATTTTCAAAAGTCTTGAATTTAACCATTTAATGTGATTCAGAAAATAACTAGATACATTTCCATTAAATAACTAAATTTTTATTTCAATTAATTCATTTATAATATTTTTAGGCAATTACTTATTTGTTTAGAACTTTTTTGTCCATTATTAGATAATATAGAATCAATTTTATAAACATTTTATTTTCTTGTTAAGGGGTATTAATTGCTAGTACTTCGAAGAAATTTATATTATTATTTATAATTTAATTTATTAAAATTTATATTTTTATTATAAATGTTTTGACTCATTTTAATAATTTAACAATAGTACTTATAGTATTTTTTAAAATTTTTCTTAAAATTCATTTAATACTTGTTTGTTTCATAATTTGTTAGATAGTCAGTATCACTTTTAAACGAATAAATCGTTAGTTGGTTTTGTTTTCCTTAAGGAAAAAATTCGTATATAAATAAAAAACCTTAATTTATTTTTACATTTATTAAGTATAGAATTTGGCTATTAGTTATACAACTTGATTATTTTAAATAAATAAATAAAAGCAGATCTAATGATGTTTCAAAAGCACTGTTGTTTTTCAAGGCACAAATTTTAGAATATTAAAATAAGCAAAACATTTTGAAGAAGTGCACTTTTAATAGTTTATTTTGGATGATGTCATAAGTAATTGGATATGTTTAAAGTTCTTTTCTATTATCGAAATGCCTTCTATAAAGAAATTTCCTTTTTATAGAGGCGCAAGCAAATTTTTTGTTATCGTATGGTAATTTTAATTTAAAGTATATTTATTCAGCAAGTGTTTTTCCCTCCTAAACATTTTCTTTTCAAGCTTTTTTAAATTGTATAAGATACGTAGTAAATTAATATTTGGCCTTCAATACCATTTGCAATGGGTCTTCTAAAATAAGAATTATATTTATACCATTACAATAATGCAATTTTTTTAAATTTATTTTAATTTTTTTTACATGATGGTTTTGTCTATGGTTAAAATTGTTAAAACTTGTCAATCTTTGCCTTGTGATTTCTGCTAACTGTGTCTTCAATTAGTTTTTAGATCTTGAATATCTTTCAGATTTTAAATCTTTTTAGAGCTTTGAGTTTAATTTTCTAGTTTAAATGTTTTTGTTTTAAAGGTTACTACTCTTGTAAATACAAAAGGCCCGTCGAAGAAAAAGAAAGGACGGTCTAAGAGAGCTCATATACTTGTTGCAGCTGTAGAAAAAGCTACTGAGAATTTTATAACTAAAGGTGAAGAAATTGCTCATGAAAATCCTGATATTCAACCAGAAATGTTGCTAGCTGTAGATGAAGTGAAAAAAACTGGCGAAATAATGAGCAAAGCTTCGAGAGAGTTTGCTGAAGATCCTTGTTCTTCTGTAAAACGAGGTACCATGGTGAGAGCTGCCAGAAATCTCCTTTGTGCAGTTACACGTTTATTGATATTAGCTGACATGGTGGATGTTCATAGACTTTTAAAATCTTTGAGATCTGTAAGTTTGAATTAGAAATTTTTTTATATTTTTTTAGAGTTATTTGTTTTTAATTTATGTTGAGGAAATTTGTCATGTAAACTGAATAGGAAATTTTTGTTCATTAACACAGTATTTGATTTAGTTGAATAATGAGAATCTTAGAAACTCTATTCAGCATTTAACAGTCATAATATTTGAAAGTTATGTTACATAGTTAACTAGTATAACTAAAATTTTATGGGCAATTATACAACATAAATAAAGTTAACGAAATTATTTAAATTACCCAAAAATAATTACATTGTGAAGAAGGGACATTACATTTGAAGGAAAAAATATTTATGCTCTACAAACCATTATGTAATCTTGAAAATAATATATGAATTGGTTTTATAGTTCAATCAAAAAATAAAATTTTTACCAAAAAATTGAATATATGCTTAAAAAAACTTTTCTAAAATGCAAAAATCATTTTAAAAAAAAATAAAATGAATACCTATTGAAAATCATTTTTTTTTTTAAAAGTTGCTATCAAATATTATTTGGGTTGACTAAGCCTGAGGATAGGTGGTTCAGAATTTATAACCAGAACCTAAATTTAATCATATTTTTTATATGAACTTTAATAACATTGAAAACCTTGAGGCTTTTGTCTATTGGTGTAAAAAGAGGTAGGGGATTTTTTAACTTTTAAATTTGTTGAGATTGTATATTATAGTTTTAAATTATGATGGTTATTTATTTTAAATATAAATACACACACAAATAAAAGTACATACAGATTTTTATAGTAACATCAGAATTATTCATGTAAATAATTATAGTGTTGTATATTCATGCCTTCCATCAGTTTAACAATCATGCTAAAAATAACTGGTTTAGACATGATATATTTTACAACTAAAAATATTTATTTTGGAAAACTTTATTAATGTGGACTTCTTTAGGACAGAGAAATTTGTTCACTTAGGAGAAAGATCTACAAATTCACAAATCTAATGATGAAAACCATTTTAATTAAATTGATATGATAGTAAAATATATAAAATGCGAAATTAGGAATTACCTTGATATTTATGTAAAGTTTATCAAAGCATAGTAATTAAAATTCAAAAATTACTGTTAAGAATATAATATATACTATGCAGTACTCTCATACAAAATTTGTTTTCAGTAAATGAATAAATGCAATGTTTTTATTTCTTTTGTAGGCGTAGCATTTTGTAATATAAACTAGATAATAATTACAAACAGAACATAGATGTTTTTGTACAAATAACACATTAATTATTTTAAAGCTATTATTAATTAAAACATTGTTAGAGATTAATTTCCTAGTAAATAAAAGTAATTTGAAAACAGAATTCTTTTAACAAAAATTGGTTAATAAATCTTTTGAAAGTAATTTTTATTTTAAAACCAAAAGCCTTTTTATTTTTACAGAATTAATCAAAAAAAATCATAGAAATTTTTTTTAAAAACATTTTCAGTATAAGTTATTTAACATATTGAAGCTAAGCATGTATGAATAAAATTTGCCATTGGTAAATTTAAGCTATATTTTTTTATTTGAAAGTAATTTTCTTACCCATTGGTTCAATAATTTCAATATACAACCAGTCTGTTTAAAGTTCTCTTATTGTTGGGGTAAACATGGGAGGTCTTCGTGTTTTTTTCCTCCGAGTAAGGCAAATAGGTTTTAGTTTCACTGAAAAAGCATATTCGCCTCTTGTTTGTTGCTTGATTTATGATTGATTGGTTACTTATGGAGATTCAAAATTACTAAAATACAAGATGGAATCATAGCATTAAGGATAACCATAACCACTGTATGAATCTTCTGTTCAAAATTTATAATAAGGTAAAATTTATTGCCGAGTATTGTACTTAGGGTAGAGTATTGTACCAAGGGTAGGAAATTGTACTAAGGGTTGATCGGATGATATTTAAAATATTTTTCAATCAATATACTGACATTTTATTAAAATATTTTTAAAACATCCTAAGTTTAACAGAAGCTATATTTATAAATGGTAATTAAAATTTAATTAAATCAAATAAAAAATTATCTATTATTAGTCATCTCCACTTCATGGCAAAGTTTAACTTTAATCATTCTACATTTGAATTGTAGTCTCAAATTCCTTTTAGAACATCTTTTTAAAATTTAGTTTAAAAAATCCATAACTAAAAGCACATGTTTTTATTTATGGGTGCACAATAAATGTCATTAGAAATATATCTTGTAAAATATTTGTTCAAAAGATAATCATACGATCTTTGTATTGTTTTGCATAAATGTTATATCTAGCCTAGTAATTAATCCATATTTGACCTAGAACCTGGAGCCAGCTAAGTAAAAGATTACATTTTCACCTGGTACCTGGGCCTAGCAAAGTTTTTCAACCCAGTACCTCTCTAGTAAAAATTAGAAATATACGTATTGGAATATACATATATAAATTAGGAATATACATATAGTGATCTTTATACAATTATATATGACATAGTGTTTCTCTTTCAATTTTCAGGTTGAAGATGATTTAGACAAGGTAAAAAATGCATCGAGTCAACCTGAGCTTATGAAGTCATTTCAAGACTTTGGTAAAAACACTGCTGAACTTATTCAACAAGCAGCTAAACGACAAGCTGTGAGTAAAGCCATTTATATATTCAATCTTTTATTTTAAGAGTTTCTTTTTTTATAGGCATTTAATAAAATATTTAAAAAACTAAGAGGTGGAATTACTTTACTAGGAACTGAAAGATCCAAGATTAAGAGATGATCTTGCTGCAGCCAGGGCTGTATTAAAAAAGAACAGTATGATGCTCTTAACTGCTTCTAAAGTAAGTAAAAAACTTTGACGAGAGAAATATTTTTTTCTATGTATTTATTTTAGAATTATAAAGGACACAATAAACTTATATTTAATTTATAGTTCATTGATTAATAATTTAGGAAATTTTAGTTAAAAATAAATTTCCCGTATACAGATTTTCTGATATGATTTTTTAAAATCATTATACTTAAGTCATCACTGATTTTTGTTACGTTTAGCACAGTTGACGTTTGCTGTAATACCACTGTAGTCCAAACGAAAATGTAAGTTTTAACATGATGTCACTATATCATGAGTACATTAAATTAATTTTAAATATTTATTTATATTTCATAAATACTGAGCATACTTTTGCAAAAACATGCTATTCTTTAAATAAAATTAAGAAACTTAATGAATGAATTAGGGATGTAACAATTATTCAACCACTATTCGGTACTCAGTCCTTATGCTGAATATTCGGTTGGCGAGATATTCGGTCAAATATTCGACAAAATATTTATTAGAAAAATATTTTTCAGCGAAGGTTTTTTTAATTTTTTTTATGGAATTTGAATAGATTTAATAAAGAATAATTTAAAATCCTGTTTTTACAAGACATTATTAGAAATAGTTTTTACACATATTTGTTAAATTCTAAAACTCGTTAGTTTATGTTCTGAAAGATATGTAGAAAAGCAAAGCTTAGAGAAATTGAAACTGAATTACTTTATACTGAACCACAAGTTATGTACTGCTGTTTTTTTTTTTTAATTATATTTAAGCGGGTCTATTTTGTCATTTTTTTTTCAAGAATTGAGAACTTATTTGAGTTTGTTTTGTTTTTGCTGTTTTTCTGCTCTAATTATAGCATAGAATTGTGACAGAGCGTTTCTTATAGACTTTGCCACTTTTTTCTTGTATGGAAAGACAGATAACAGGTTATCGTGAAAGTTGTGGTTTTCAACGTTAAAGTTACATTTCAGATTTGGGTTTAAAAAAATTTGTTTCTCCTTTGCCTTTTTTTATCAGCGTTTTTATTATGGCAGCATTTTTCAAAGAGCATTTCTAATGGTTCTTACGCACCAAAAATGTTGGGGGGGGGGGATTTCTACTTTTTGAGTATAAACTCTGGGAAAGTTATTTTTATGGTCATGTTTTATCAAAAAATATGGCAGTATGAAAAAGTTAAATTGAGCTTTCAATGTTAATTTTTTTTTGTTCAAAAATTAAGAACGATTTTTGTTTTGGTTTCTATCTAGCTCTTTCTTTTTTTAAAATATTTATTTTTATAAAGTTTCTTATTATGATGTGGCAATTAAGAAGGTGTCTATTAGACTTTATTCTTCTCAATTTTAGAAAATACGGTAATTGAAAAACTGGGTTCTTCAGCTTTTTCAAAATTTTCTTTCAAAAATCAGGACTGATTTTTATTTTTTCTGTTTTGCTTTTGTATATAATCTTTTTATGGACGTTTTTAGGATAGCATTGTATTTTTATAGATTATATCTCGTACAACGTTTTGCGAATTATTTTTTATTTTTAGCATTAAAGTTTTGTTTTAAGAAAATATTTTTTTATATTTAGCTTTTTCTTTTTTTTTTCAACTTTACCACTTTAGTTTTTTTTTAATGATGGTTACTCAGTTTTTAATTTATCTTAAATATTTTTATTATATTTTGTTTTCCTTTACCTCATACCAGCTACCAATAACATAGCTAAGTTTTGATTATTTTTCAATAATGACTAAACTTATTTTTATATAAAACAATTTACACTTTTATATGTACAGTCAGTCACAAAAGTCTACATACACCCGCTAATATTCGCAGATCTAGCACTTTACTCATACTTTTGAATATACAACTTTATTTTCGTTAACATCTTGGATAATAACTCATATCTAACAAAAAAAAAATTATGAACAAATTCGTTAAAATATAACAAAAATTAACAACATATTAAATTATATAGTCACAAAAGTCTACATACAGAGACAGAACAATACAAACTTTCAGAATTAAATGCCAAAAAATGTAACATTAATACTTTGTAGGACCTCCCTTTGAAGTAACAACTGCCTGAAATCGGTTTGGCATTGACATAACCAGATTTTTTGTAGTCTCAGGTGTAATTTGAGACCATGCAAGCTCTATTGCCTTCTTTAGGGTTTCCTTGCTTGTTACCGATTGCTCCCGAACTCTCCTATGAACTTCCTCCCAAAGGTGCTCGATGGGACTAAGGTCTGGGGACTGTGGCGGCGAATGGAGCTGTTTAGGCGTTTTATAGAGTAGCCATTCCTTAACAATCTTAGCTGTATGTTTTGGGTCGTCTTGTTGGAAGACAAAGTTGTTCCCAAGTCCCAATTTTCGAACCGATGGAAGTAGATTGTCTTGCAAAATCTTCAGGTATTCAAATCAATTCATTATGCCATCGATAAACACTAAATTGCCAACTCCAGCTGCCGCCCTTGCTCCCCAAACTATAACACTGCCTCCACCGTGTTTCACAGTAGGAGTCAAATTCTCGGGATTCATTTCTGTGTTTTTTTTTTCCCCTCTAGATTTTACTGCGGTCATCACTCCCGAACATGTTGAACTTACTCTCGTCTGTAAAAACAACTGTTTTCCAAAAATTGAAATCTTGGTCAATATGTGCAGAAGCAAAATCAAGTCTCTTTTGTTTGCTAGTAGATGAAATGAACGGCTTTCGTCTAGAAACTCTACCATTGTAGTCGGCTGATCGAAGAATTCTAGGAACAGTTTCTGGATGCACTTTCCTTCCACTAACTGTTGCAATTTGATTCACTAATTTTCGGATTTTTCTTCACTTTTCTTACTATGGATCTTGCATCACGATCATTGAGCTTCTTTGGTCGACCACATCGATATTTGTTGAGCACATTTCCAAGCATAACATAATTTCTGTAGATTGTTTGAACAGCTGTCCGACTTTTTTTTACAATTTTTGCATTTTCTGCATAAGATTTCTTTTCACATTTCATTCTTACTATCTAAAGATGTTTCCTTGTTGAAGTTACAATGTCAAAAAATCTCGGGAAATGAAGATTAGAATAGATAACGAAACATGTAACCTCAAACTAAGACAATCTTCCAAAATAACTTCGTATGCAAATTTTTTCCCGTCCGCCAATCAGGTGTATGCAGACTTTTGCGACTTGATAATTACTATACAAATCACAAAATTACCTAGAAATTATTATTTCTGAATATTTTTATTATGGAAAACAAATTGTTTAGAGAAAACGGAAGGAGTGTGATTTTTAAAGTTGAAATTTAATTGCTTTTTGAGAAACCTTTATTTTGATCAGTGTATATAGATTTTTGTGACTGACTGTATATATAAATCTTTTAATATGAATTAATGATTTTTTAAAGCAAATCGTGCTACTATTTGGCCGTCGACTGTTCGGCATCCGGCTGGGTTTTTTTTTGGGGCCGAATATTTATTATCCTATCAAATTTTAGCCAAATCACCATTCGTTACATCCCTAGAATGTATTAGGATTTTTTTTGTCAGTGAAGTTCAAGTAATATTTAGTATAGTACAAGTATTGTTTAATATTAATACTTGTACTTGTACCATTAAAGGAGTTAAAAATACATTTATATGTTTAAAAAGGACATATTTTAATATTGCGCATAAACTTTAGCCAATCATTCAGTGCTTTTTTAGATTTTGAAATTTAGTAATTTGACGATAACAATGTCATGAAATTGAAACACTTTGTTCTTCTGCCTGTAGAATTACATTATGATTTTTAATTATTGTAAACAATGTGGTTTTGCTGTTATTTTTTTATACAATTCCTTTGAAGTTTTCAATTTCCATTATAAGCATATACCTTTACACTGGTTATAGCCATTTTCGTTAAATAACATATGTCCAGAGAACTAAGCATAAATAATATCAAGTGTTATATTTTGGTGGTTTAACTCCAAAGTAAACCACCTCTTACAACACTTCACAAAAAAAGTGAATACAATTTTCAAACCAGAAAAATAGGATTGATGACTATATTGAATTGCTTAAAAAGAAATTTTGAATGGTAATGTTTATGCAAAAATTGATAACTGATTATTTGATTGAACTGATTTCTAAATGACAGTGCAATATGCACTTCAAATTCTTAAGAATGGTAAGTAATCAATACATCAGAAACTTTTTTTACCTTAGATTATGCTCAGGACCTCCTAGAAAAAGAATAGGTGATCCTGTCACTCTCCTTTCATTCATAGATAATTCAGGATGTTTAGTGTTTTTGAGCGGTTGAATCGAAAGAAATAGTGGTTTGAATAGTTTTTTTTTCTTCAGATTCTTTTATTATCGATTGACTTGATCTCAATGAAGAAATGCTAGTTTTCAAAGTGCAAAAATGTCTCAGCTATTTTTAGAGTGATTTTCTTAGATTTTTTTAAAAAAAAAAGATGAAACAGAATTTTGATCACTATAAACGGTTCAGTTTGGAGACTCTAATGGGTATTAAAATAACATTCAGTCTAAGCAAACAAGACTTCATGTAGCAGTTGTTATAATGGAGTTAATTTTAAAAAAGTATTTATTAAAAACATGTCAAATTTTATTTATTATTACTTTTTTTTATTATTTTTTCCTTATTTATACATCGTCTATTTATGATTTCTTTCAGGTGTATGTACGCCATCCTGAATTGTCAGCTGCTAAAGAAAATCGTGATTATATATTTCGTCAAGTCTGTGAGGCTGTTAATACCATTAGTGACGTTGCTCAAGGTAAATCCACTAGTGGCGCTTTAGGACAACCTCCATATGATGGTCCTGGTGAATTAGCTGCAGCTTTAGATGAATTTGATGTAAGGACATTAAAAAATATATTATTCTATTTGAGCTAAAGTTTCAATTTCTATTCTATTTATTGTTTTCTTTGTATATGCGCACTGCAAATTTATTTAACTGCAATTTTGGTGTGTGAAAGCCAGCATTGGATTAAGGTACTATGGGGCCTGTGACTAATCTGCGACTTGTGGCCCTACCCGTACCAAATATCCAAAACTTACCTATATTCAGGAATATTGAAACTTACTTCTTATGAAATCCACAAATTTTAAAATTTGTTTTATAAAAATTCAAAAAAAAATTTCTATTTTTTTATTTTTTACAAAAATAATTACATTAATCATTAATTTTTTATTACATGCCCATGTCAGCAAAAACATCCTGTTAAAACTACCAAAAATACATACCTGCCAACTTTCACTCTTTCCGAAAATGGATTTTCAGAGTGGTTGTAAAACAATAAACGAAAAACAATCCGACTCAAAAATATATTTATATTTTGATCCCGTTGAAATGCACTTCCTCAAGGATTATTATGCTTTCATATAATTATTGTAATTATTTATATGTAGTGGTGATTAAACTCATTTATAATTATCATTATAATTCAAAAAGTTAATTGGAATAACCTGAGTATTGCTACCACTTTAAATATGAAAATAAAATCTTCCGGAAAATCTGGAAGAGTTGGCAGGTATGAAAATACAAAAATTGAAAAGTTTTCCATTTTGTTTCAAAACTTCAATGTTTTCTCTTTGTTTATATTTCTCTCTTTATTTAAATGTTTTTCCCCCATTTTTCTACATTATATACATATATTTAATATTTTTCCAAATAAATTGATTTTAAGAAAGATTCTGCAAAAACTTAAGAATGTCTGCACCCGACATGCATATGCACTCGTATAATCCTGTTACATCATTAACAATGAGTAACTTTTAAATCATTGCAAAAGTTATTGATATTTTCTTCCCTTTCTTATAATTGAATATTTATTAATAAGCAAATCGCTCTCTTATTAACTTTAAACATGTTTCCCGAACTCCCATTATATACATTTATGCTACGACATATTAATTTCTGTTTCCGTGTTTGTATAAATTGTAAAAATTTTTAAAAAATTCTTAAATCTATTAAACTTACTCACTTTAAAAAAAATTTAATGTAGCTAAGAATTGTTTCATGTTCATTTTTTATTCAGTCCCAAATATCTTTACCTAAAATCCAGTCATTATTTGATGTTTTAGGAACGAATCCTTATGGATCCCTTGATTTACAACGAAGTTCGTACACGCCCTGCTTTGGAAGAAAGACTTGAAAGTATCATAAGTGGTGCTGCATTGATGGCAGATTCATCATGTACTAGAGATGAACATAGAGAACGAATTGTCGGTGAATGTAATGCAGTGCGTCAAGCTTTGCAAGATTTGTTGTCAGAGTATATGAAGAATGTAGGTTTCAAATTATTTTCTTTTTTTTATTTCTTTTCTACACTTTATTTATTGTTTTATAATCTGATCCAATTTCAACAATTGATACATTTTTTTTTTTAATACCATGGGAGACGCTCTTCAAGGAGAACTGAAATCACTCGTGAGAAAAGATCAGTGAACTGAATTTCATTCTCCAATTGATATTTTCTTCCCAATAAAGGAATGGGATTGTCTGAATTTCAACGTCTGCTTGTGTAAACAAAATTTGTATTCTTGAATCTGAATCTACTTGAAGAAAAAAAAAATGAAATTTTTAGACCTAGAACAAATTGTTAATGAAAAATAAGTTGAGATTTGAAAGGCTCCAAAAAAAATTAGTGGTGTAATTTGGCAATTATTGTAAAAAGACATAAGATGTTAGCTGTTGTTTTTGTTTCGTGTAAAAAATGAACTAATAAAATGAAGAAAAGTAAATATTTTTTTAGAAAGGAAAATCAGGTCATCGATGTTATATGTGGATCATTCTCATGAAAAGTAAGCTATAAATTTCTAAAAAGTTCTACTAAATAATACTAGATCATGTTAATACAGCCTGATGATTTAAATTAAACTTTTTTTTTTGCCTATTTTTTTCCTTGTCTGATAACTTTCAAGTGTTCAAATAAACAAGAATAAAAAAAATCTATCTGAAGTATTGTGATAAATTTTTAGTGTCAAGTAAGTATCCTGAAAATGTTAAGAAATTCATTCCTTTTTATTACACAACCCTGAGTTTATAATATGTATGGAGAGAGAGAAAAATTTCTGAAAATTGTTTGATAAAAGAATATCAATTTACATCTCACAGTTAGTACATAACATCCTATAAGTGAGCTCACAAAGTGCTTAGATCTATGGTGCTATACATTAATGTTTTTGATACACTGAATTAATAAATTAATTAAAATGTACAAAATATTTAGCTATTTTATGTGAATTTGAATATGCAATGCAGGTCAAATTAGCTTCAATAATAGAATGTTTCCATTGTAAAATTTGAGATAAACGTTTAAAAAAAGATGAATAAGGGTGTTAATAAAAAAAGGGGTGTAATTATATAAAATTAAATTTTTTTGCAAAATTCAATGTTGTATATTTTAACAATTGAATATTATACACGCTTAAAACAATGTTTTTGCTTTTTAATAACATTGTTATTAAACAGCAATTTTTCAAATCATTATATTTTAATTTTCATTATTTTTCTAGGCTGGCAGAAAAGATATGTCTGATCCTTTAGATAAAGCTATTGATCATATGACTCGTAAAACTAAGGATTTACGACGCCAATTACGCAAAGCAGTTGTTGATCATGTTTCAGACTCTTTCCTCGAAACAAACGTCCCACTTTTGGTTTTGATAGAAGCTGCTAAAAATGGAAATGAGAGAGAAGTTGAACAATACTCTCAAGTATTCACAGAACATGCAAATAAACTTGTGGAAGTGAGTAATAGTTTTACATAACCATTCACCAGAATATTTTACTGCATTATTTTAAGTAATATTATAATTTTATATAGTTAACTTTTTTTTTTATAAAATTTTTAAATTATTTGCTGCAGAGTAATTTTGCTGTTGAAAATTTAATGAAATATATTTGAATGTTTGCCACAATAATTTATAATTATGTTTTTTTGGGTAATCTATAATATTTAAATATGTACATTATTTAGGTTGCTAATTTGGCATGTTCAATGTCTAACAACGAAGATGGAGTTAAGATGGTCCGCTTTGCTGCTGCTCAAATTAGTAATCTCTGTCCTCAGGTATGAATTAATATTTGTTTCTTTTATAAGAAATAGTATCAGATAAGTTTATCTAAATCAGTAATTTAAAAATCTATTTTTCTATTGAAATATTGCTCAATATTTTAGCGACAATTGAAATGCATTTACGATATATACAGATAAACATTCGAAACTTAATTGTTTGCTATAAATATTAATTTAAATATTTTTAACAATGAGGCATTCAGGATTAGGAATAAATAATTGTTCAAAATGAATAGCTGAAATGTAAGTGAAAGATCATATAAATAAGATATAAAAATGTTCTCAATTAGCTATTTGGAATCTGCATGAAAATTAAGTTAAATAAATAGCACTTTCTTAAGCATATGATATGGGAAATTTGAAATGTAAATTTACTTTCAGTGCAATGAATAATTTGATTGTTTTACGGAAAATGTTTTAGTATCATGTTGCATTGAAAATCTATGGCTTATCTCTTTGAAATTTAGTCACATATCCCATTGAAATTTTAATTTAGGAAATTTTATTGAATTCGCATTATGCTATTATGTTTCCCCCCCCCCAAAAAAAAATAACTCTATTTGTCACTTAACTCTTAAATGTTTACAATTTCCATATGAGTACCTTTTCATTATGATCAAAACTTTAGTTTTTTCCCTCCAATGAATAATTATGCTATTATCTATGTTTTAAACAATACATATTATTAGCTCTGTTTGAAATCTTTTAAAATGCTAAAATTCTGTTATACAATATTCTAAAATTGTTTACATGAGTAGCGAAAATAACTTTATTATTATTTTATGTATCGAAATCTTTCCAATAAAGCTGTTGATACCTCTTTCTCTTTTTTTTCTTGACTTTGATAAATTTGTTATTATAATTATCATTAATTTCTACTAGGTAATTAATGCAGCTCGTATATTGGCTGCTCGTCCACGTTCAAAAGTGGCCCAAGAAAATATGGATGCTTTTAAAGAAGCTTGGGAAAATCAAGTTCGAATTCTTACTGAAGCTGTGGATGACATCACCACAATCGATGACTTCTTAGCAGTTTCAGGTAATGTTTAAGTTTTAACTTTTTTTAAATTCTAATTGCAAAAAGAAAAATATTTTTTATTTTTAAATTCATTTTTTTCATAATAAAAGTGTTCAGAAATACATTTGTGTATGTATAAATTTGTAAGAAAATTTTATTATGTTATGTTATATCAATTACATTCATTTTTAAACTGCTAACTGTTCAAACGTTTTGTATTTCATTTTCCTACTTAAATATTAAATAATGCTTCAGTTTGTATGTCCAAGTAAAAATTTTAAAATTCTAAAGATATTTATTATCAATGACCAGAGTAGTTTTTATTATTTCTGCTACTATGCAGTATAAGTTTGTAGGCACAAGAATTATGTGATATGTTGTAGGTAAATCCACCTTTTATAAGGACATTTTTTGTGTATTAAACTGACAAGTCTTTGAGGTTTTGATACATTTAAACTGAAATTATTCTAAAAAAAGTATTTAGATCAGTAAATAAAAAACTATTTTAGACCTGATCAGCTGTTTAATGCCTGCATCTGAAAAAGCAAAGTTTATTCAGCAGTTTATGGGCCCTATCTTGAAAATTTAACCATACAATTTTTTTATTTTATGTAATATTTTGCATTTAATTACCTATATCTGGATGTTGCATTGAAATAAAATGAAGACAAACCCACACATAATTATTAGAGTTTCTTTGCTACTTCAAAAAAATCAGGAAATTTAGGAATTGTCTGAAAACTGAGGGTTTTTTATTTATTTTTTTTTAACCAAAATCTGCATTAGTCAGGGGGTTAAATTTCACAAGCGATGAGTATGAGATATTTGTATCAACATTTCCTGCGCAGGAATTCCCTTTTGGCATTAATTAAAATAAATCAGAATTTATAAGTGGCAAATATTAATTTTTTGTAGTTCATGGTGCTGCCTGTGCATACTGTATCATTATATTTGAATTTTTTTTAATATATCTTGAAGGTCTGGTAATAAACAGAGAATTTTATTCTTCTATTTGAGTAGCAACTCTGTTATTGTATTTTTTGTTGAGAAATGGAATAGTTGACAAAAATTGTATTAAAATTTTGCTGTTTTAGTCTTAACACTTAACATCTTAGAGGTTTAGGTAAGTTAAGACATTAAGCGTTGATAATAATTGAACATTTCTACTAACTTAATTTGAGAAGCCCAAAAATTTGAGAATTTATAAAGGAAGGAAAAAAATTTTAATAATTTCTTAATTTTTACTTTTGTAAATTCTTTTCATGTAAAATATTTAATTTAGTTGTTTGAAGTGTAAATTATATTTAAATCTTTATGAAACATTTTAATAAAATTCATTCATTTGAATTTTATTTATTTATTATGCATTGATTAGTCATTTTTAACACTTGATTTCTGCAAAAAGGGAAGAAAGTTATTTTTTTATCTCCACTCTAAAAAACTGTATATCAGTAAAAAAATCTGCATTATAATAAAGATAGTTATAAAATTGTTATTGTAGTCAGATTTTTGAATTTTTTGGAGTTGCATCCTTAGCAAAAAAGTTAATCATATCGTAAAGTGCTTTGAGTTATTTTCCGATTTTAATCATTGTATGCATGATTTTCATGATTGATGTATACTTTATAAGTAAAGCTTTTTCCTTAGTATATTATCGTATTTACGAATGATTTCATTTTATAGAGAACCACATTCTGGAAGATGTGAATAAATGTGTTCTTGCTCTACAAGAGGGTGATGCTGATACATTAGACAGAACTGCCGGGGCCATCCGTGGACGATCTGCTCGAGTTTGCAATGTTGTTGCAGCTGAAATGGATAATTATGAACCTGGCATCTATACAGAAGGTGTTTTAAAAGCTGTAGCAGTTCTTAGGGATCAAGGTAAGTTATTTTTATTTTTCTTCATGATTTCGCTAAGAGAATATTTGTTAGAGATATCTGTTTAAATATGCACAAAAAAGAGTTAAAAATTCTATCTGAAAATCTTTGCTTTATCCCTTATGTCATAATTATTTGTCTTTAATTCTTAAAATCATAACTTTGAAAAAATTGAAAGAAAAGATGCAATATTATCAAATAATATTTTGTAGTACTATAATTTTTTATTTTTCTTCTACATGAATATAATAAATCATTGCATTAAAAAAAAATTCTTTTTTAAGTTAAGAAAGGCAATGTCTTGTAAGAAAAAATTTTTCCAGGTGTTAAATATTTATACAGTTTTAAAATTTGAATAAATATAATCAAGATATTAAAATAATAGGATTGCTTTATAGTTCTTAATCCAATCTTTACAGATTTTTGATTTTAGTGCAATTGTTTCCTCACAAAAATATAAATATATAATGGGTAAAAGGACTCTGTAAATCCTTTCTATTTTGACGTAAGAAAAATAAATTTTTTTGTATTATAAAGGTTATAGAAAAAGATATGTTTAAAACTATTTCTCACAATTTATTTATTTATTTTTTAGAAAAGTTAAGTATTAATATCCAGATATTTAAGTCTGAAGGTAATTGAAAAATCTGGTTCTTTCTTAATTGATGACATCACTTTGCAATGTGCCTAAAAGGTTTACTACAACAAGCTTAATAAATGACCCTGGCAGTTTTTAGAGAGCTGCATATTCCTATTAGTCTATGACTAATGCAGTACCATTAGTTTAATTTGAATGATATTGTCTAATACCATTCTCAAAAGAAGTGAATTTTGGAAATTTTTACATGTAATCTTAATTTTGTTTTTGTTTGTTTGAAATTAATATGAGTCAACCATCTATTGAAAGGTGTCCAATTCATTGTACAGTCAACAGAAGAAAATTCATTAGAAACTACTGTTTAATTAGGATGAATGAAAATTGAAGAGGTTTGACTGAATTTTCATGGCGGAATTCGCCCTGGCAGGATTGCAGCGACATAGCGACGTTGTCACAGAACGTTGCAAAGTTTTTGTGGAAAGACTTTTCATTTGGTGGGGGGGGGATTTTAGTTTTCCTCTCTGCATAATTTTTGGAGAAATTTTTTTTTTTTTTTAAGGATGTCTTTTTTGCGCATTAAAAAGGAAAGAAAAAATGTGATTTTTTTTTTTCTTTTCTCTTTTGGGATTTGAAAAAAAAGTCCGTAATGACTGGCTAGAATTTCAAATTGATAATATAAAATAAAAAAATTCAGAAATCGCGAAAGCTTAAAAAATAGTTCGCTCTAGAAATTATGTTCTTTCTTTCATTTTTTCTTTTTCTTTAAAGAACGTGTTTTACACACACTTATTTAAGTATCTCTTTTTTATAAAGTCTTATTCATGTGATTCCGTCATCGATCTTTATTTTGAAGTACTGCATGGATTTTGATTTTTTAAAATTTATGTACGAATTTCAATTTATTATCGTTTAATTTATTTATGAATTCAAATTCTTGCAATGATATACAAAATTCGAAAGATGACATAATTAGTGCATTTTTCTGCCTACAAAATGCAAGAAAGCACTTATAATATTAGAATTAAAAAATATTACTTTTACAACTAAAAAATTTTTATTCTGTACTTTTTTCTGTAAACACAACGTTTCTGTTACTTTAAATTAGTAATTGTTAGAATTAAAAGTACCTTAAAAATATTAACGCTAGGGAAATTTGTCACAGAAAGCTTGAAGAAATTCAGACAGGGAATGTTAGTTACAATGAACATCATTTTACTATTTTATTGAATTTTTAAAGTTAATATCATCACACATCTAACAGTAAGATAAGAAACACATTCCTTTGATATAGAAGGTATTTGAGATGAGAATTGAGATTTTAATATTGAATTGATTAATTACTACCCTCCTTCCCTAAAAAGAAAAAAAGCACTACTATTATTAAAATACTTCACATCTCCCTCTTTCTTTTTTTCTCTCCAAAAACCAAGGAAATAATACAAATTAAAAATTTGGATTGTAATAAATTTTTAAATACTTGAAATGCTCGGGGGAATACAAAACTTGAATTGATCTTAAAATATTTTGACACTTTAAGATTTTCAAAAAAGTTTTTTTGATATAACCATGGTAAATTTATAAATTTTTTTAGAAATGTGAAAGAAAATTATTTTTGAAGTTCAAGAGTATTTTAAGTTAGTTCTGTATTTGGTTATTAAATCATATCCTTAATTTTGTTCTTAGTATAGAATTCTTAATTTATACTTAATCTGTTTGTAACAATTATCTTGTTATCAATCAAAAGGGATGAAACGCTTTAAGGAGAAAAATTATTTTAAACTAGAAAATGGTAAACTTCGTTCATTGCAATAAATCCTTTAAAATAAACTTATAACTGGTGAAAATTTCATGAGCTATCAAGATCATATAATTTAATTGTGACTTAGGATTTTAATATTTAACCATTGGATATCAAAATAATATCAGTTTCTTAGTAACTTACTACCAGTAGTACTTGTAAGATTCTGTAATCTATACTAAGCACTGATTCTGACATACAAACTATAATTTCATATAAAAAATTGCAATCAGATTTTATAGAAGGTCTAATTTTATGTAGAAAAAAAATCTTGTAAATATTAATAATTCATTCATCTGTTAGAAATTAAATAATAGGATTATTTAATTTTTATAGTAATGCCTAACTTTGCTTCACGCGTTGAAGTGGCAGTGGAGGCTTTAAGCTCTAATCCCTCAAAAGAAGTTGATGAAAATGAATTTATCGATGCATCTCGTCTTGTCTATGATGGAGTTAGGGATATTAGAAGAGCTGTTTTGATGAATAGAGTAAGTTATTATTTTTTTTTTGTAAAATTGTGCAAAAATTTTAATATCTAGTTTTAATTAATAATTCTGATTTTATAGACAGCTGAAGAATTGGATTCAGAGACTGAAATTGAGTTTGAAGCTAACACTTCAGAAACAAAAAGCAAATGTAAGAATATTGCTTTCTCATAAAAATATTTGTTTTTGTACGACATTGCATTTTTAAATTTGAATTCTTCTCATTACAGCTAGCGCTCATACCGATTTCGATGAGTATCCTGAAATTAGTGGCATTAACAACACAAGAGTATGTATGATTGTTTCATTTTTTAACAATGATAATTTAATAAAAAAAATGCAACTTAAAAGCAGTTAGTCAATTTTAAAACTATATTTTTCAAATTAATCTCTAAATATTCTTATAAAATATATAAAGGTTTATTAAATCTTTTTAAATTAATAATGGAAAATATGTTTTTCTATTTAAAAATAATGGTTAATCGTATGTCATTCATGTTATTAGGATGCTTATCGTTATATATCTGAAGAAGACAAGCAGAAGATTGCTGCTCAAGTTGAAAATTTCCGTACTGAAAAGAGTAAATTCGATCGAGAAGTTGCCAAGTGGGATGATACTGGAAATGATGTTATTGTTTTAGCAAAACAAATGTGTATGATTATGATGGAAATGACAGATTTTACAAGGTTAAAAAAAACATTCTTTGTAATAAACTATCACTGGTATCAATTTTTATTTTAGATATCAAAAATATATAATGAACTATTAAACTACTGATTCAGCAAAGGGAAGCAGTTATTTTGTTTGAAAAGAAAAAAAAGCTTAAGTATCTTTATTTCAAAATGAAGAATCGATCAATAATTTTTTTTATTTTGACATTAAAATTTATCTCTAATAGCATTTTTTAATTAATTAGAGTGAAAAAGTAATTTTGTACATCGTATTTCTGTAATATGACTATTTTTACTTCTCCTATTTTTGATTCTATAAAATACTAATTTAAAAGATACACTTTAGAACATTTACTAAACATTTCTGTAAAAAATCAGAATTAATGTTAGGTAATCTATTATTTCAAGTAAAACTGATAATCTTCTGTTAAGGGGTCTAAGTAGTTTTCATTTCATTGAGGTCCCACAGTGGACTGATCGTTAAGGCACGGTTCCCAGCAGATCACCGAAGTCAAGCATCACTGGCTGCGGTCAGTGTGCGGGTGGGTGACCACTTGGATCAGTCTGCGGTATTAGTCCTCGTTAAACTGTTCTACCGTAAAGTCCTCGACTTCGCGTGCAGGTCGTCAGGCTACCGAAGCGGGGGTGCCATCCCCTCTACGTAGGATCACAATTGCGATCACATGTCTTCGGATCATCTCCAGGGATGTTTCCCAGACCGTCGTCAATAGCCCATTGTGCAGCTCTAGTGCGACGTAAATGAACTACAACAACATCATTTCATTGAGAAAGCATCTATATATAACCTTTTTTTTTAACTTATTTAAATTTAAAATTTTGTTTTTTTAGTTATTTAAATGTAATGACTTTTGAAATTTTTTTAATTAACTTTTATACTTTAAATTTCTTAAGAACTAAAATTTGATGGAGAAACTAAATGGTATACTTACTATGGTGTGTTACGTTTAAATTTACTTCAAATACCTTGACAAAACTGTTAGCAGTATTTTTTTTTTCATCTTTAAGTATAGTTTTCTTATTTATTAATTATTATTTATTCTAAAATTTTTGTTGAAATATCTAAAATTTATACGTTATAATTAAAAATTTAAAGAGAGCAAATCAGGCGACTAGGAAACTAAAGTTAATTGCTTAAAGGCAACAAAAAATCAATTAAAAAACATTTATCAGGTTAGCAAAATTAAATGTACATTTTATAGGTAAAAAAGTGAGGATATTTATAATCATTTTAAGACTAAAATTGATATTCTTTATGACATAGTGTATGTAAAAAAAAAAGTAGAGTTTTTAGGTTTTAAGACTAGTAACCTTTTGTGAAAATTATTATGATAAATATTAAATATAACATTTTTTTTTCTTCTTAATTTAGGGGAAAAGGTCCTCTAAAGACTACCATGGATGTAATAAATGCTGCTAAAAAAATATCCGAATATGGTACAAAATTAGATAAGCTGGCTAGACAAATTGCTGACCAGGTAACATTCACTTTATAGCCTCTAATTTTCAAAATTATATATTATGGCTTATGGCTAAATTTTTTTCTTAATTTTTACAGTGCCCAGAATCAAGTACTAAAAAAGATTTATTGGCCTATTTGCAAAGAATAGCTTTATATTGTCACCAATTGAACATTACGAGTAAAGTTAAAGCAGATGTTCAAAATATATCTGGTAGCCTTATTGTTTCTGGTGTAAGTGAATTAATTTTTATTATATTTTTTTATATTAATCCCACTCTATCTTATTTGACTATTTTTATTAATACTCTAGTTCTCCCACTTTTAATAGTTATTTACATATGAATAATACAAAATATTAGCGATTGTTTATGTTTAAACGTTTAACTTTCAAACCTAACGACTATTAAAGCTAAAATATTTTTGCTTATTCCTTATAATTATCAAATTAAATTATTTTTAGCATACGACCTATCATGTAGAAAACTTCATTTTTTAATATAATCATTATTGTTGAATAAGTTTATGTTCTTTTATGGAAAAAGTATGTTTCATCAACATCTACATTTCATTAATGTTTCTTTGTTTAATACTAATTAATTTTCTAGTGAAATTGTATGATTCAATTATTTTTTTATTTTTAATAGCTTGATAGTGCCACTTCATTGATTCAAGCTGCTAAGAACTTAATGAATGCTGTCGTCCTTACTGTTAAAGCCTCATATGTTGCTTCTACAAAGGTATTATTTTCTCTCCTTTTTTTATACATTAAAGTGGCAAGTAAACTGTAAAGATTTCTATTAACTATATGAAAAAGTTATCATTTGGTTGAAAACGTGCAGTTAAAATTGTGCTGAAATTCAAAATATGCTAGGATTTCTCTTTAAATCGTTTTTTGTTGAAAGCTCTATTGTTACTTCATAGATATAAAAAATTTCACCTTAATTTTCTCTATAGAATTTTGAAAGATTACAAGATTTTTCATTTTCTATGAATTCAGTGCATTATGAATTCAAAAATTTTCTTTATGCCACAACACTTAAACCACTGCTCCCTTTTTCTAAGAAACAACAATTAAAAATCTTTTTGTATTGAAAAAAAAAAAAAATTCTAATACTCTAATAATTTTATAGCCTGTCTTTAACCAATTCATATGAGGTTTACAGTGATCAATTTTACATTCTGTAGCATAAGTTCCCACTGTGTACCTTATAACTCTCCCCTCACAGTGAAAGGTAAAGAGTACTTAGGTTATTTCAATGGTGTTGGGATATGTAGTAGTTTCTTAATAAATTATGGATGAAAGTGCTCATAAAAAATTTAAAATTTATTATTTGGGAAATTTTATATATTTCACTTTTCTCTTACTTTAAACTCGTTGCATATAGAAGTTTTGAATATATTTTTGAATTAACTTATTTATATTAACGTATTTTCCTTAGATTTAACTTTGACTTTCTTTGGATTTAAATTTGTTAATTTGTTTGACTTTGGTTAACTTTATAATTCTCTAATTCGATTTTGAAATATGTTTCAGTATTAGCCTCACTGAAAGCACAAGCGATGGGTTACAGGTCAAATTGATTAAAATTATAAGCGTCATTGCTTGTTCCACAATTTTTGTTACATCAAACCAAAATAATATTTAATTCAAGCTTAACAATAGAATTATTTTTATGCAATCTTAAAAAAAAAAAAATTGAACAAGTAATTTTATTCAAAATTGGTATAAAAATGAAAACAAGAAATCATCAGAATATTAGCATACTTTTGTGTGAGGCTTTTTGTGTAAAACCTTTCATTGTTAGTCTGATGGCTAGAGTCTTTTCTAACTATTGATATGTCTTTCACTGAAGATATTTTATGTCAGCTGTGTGTTTGGTGTTAATTATAAACAGTATATAAATTGACCAGCCTTGGTTAGGTTTCATACTATTGAATTAACAATCTCTTCATAGGAAAGCAAGCTCTCTATGCTTTCAGCTCTCTTGGAATTTATAATTGCTTACCTATACTTTAATCAATTTAAAGTAATATAATTAGTCAATTATGATTGTATTTGTTTTAACACCCTTTCTAAAACCTGAATCATTAAAATAAGTGTTAGGACTATAGATTATGTGTTATTTATTTTATTTAAAGAGTATTAAAACTGTTTATTCACATAGACTGATTAAGTACATAACTTATGCTCATAGTTTTTGAATGTACTAATGTTAACTAAATTAATTTATTTCAAACTAATTTAAATGCATTAGAAGAGTAGAGTAAAGTTTTGATGCAAATCTTTTAATTTTTGTTTCATAATTATTTTTTTATGAACTGCATATTAATTTTTTGTTTTATTTTTTAGTATCCAAGAAGTGTTCAAGTAGCTGTAAGTATCTTTATTTAAAAAGTACACTTATGTATCTAAATTTATTTTAAATCACCACAATTTGTGACATTCTTTTATTCAGACAATATTTTTATTTATTTTTGTAAAATTTGGCTACATGATTTATCTCATAATGAAATGTATAAATTTTCAAAAGAAACAAGAATTCATTCAACCCGAATTAACCAATTTTCCATATAAATTGTAGCTTTTTTAATTATAAAATAATTTTTTTAATATGTCAATACTGCTTGAAAAATCAATGTAAGCGACAAAAAATTCAAAGTTAAGATTTTTATATATTTGGCCTTTTTGTGTGGTGGGTTACATATTGCAAAAAAATATATATGTATTCCATAACTAAATTTTATTTTATCAGTTTTTGACATTCATAGCATTAGCAATAGAAGGAAGATAGTTGTAAAACCACTTTTCTCAGAATCAACTGTGAAGCACTTGTTTTTTTTTTCTCTCAATTGCATGGCAGAATGCATATCAAAATTTTTTTACATTTTAATTCAATAATATATTCATAATTTTTTGTGAAAGTTAAATTATATTTTTGATACCTGAGAGTGTGATAAATAAATGATTTTTATTACTCTTTCTAGACGGCCCAAGGAAAGGTATAAAATATTTCATTCTTGCAATTGTTTAAATGATATAACTTTTGATCTAATAATATCCTTAAATAAGTATGACTTGGTCATACCTATTTAAGTATTATTTGTCATGATAAACATGAAAATATTTTCATGTCTCAGAAAAAAATATTTTTTCTAGAAAGTAGAAAATTGTTTTCACTGTATGATACACACACACACACATATATATATATATATATATAAAACGCTAATACGTACGTATGTATGTATCAATAAAACCGATGATATTTCTTTTCTTGCGCTGGCAACAGTTTTCATTTTTAATTGATTGCATTCGGCGCGCAAGAGCACGTAGTGAGCAACCAGATAACAATAACCAGAGTGAGCATTATCAGGTTGTTCAATTCAGATTCATGCACTAAAAACAAGACAATATTTAATTTAAACTCAATTAGGAATTAATTAATTAATTGAAGTGAGAATGCTTTAAAAGGCTGCTGTTGAATTGATATTTTTCTACTTGGAGCTACCTAAACGTCTAAAAAACGTTTAAGTGTTTGTATTGAATGCATTGAATTTTTTTATATTTCGCGTTTATTTATGCATTGAATTTTCACGCTTTAAAATGCAGAATATTAGTGAAGCAATATTTGATAATTTATTTTGCTAATATGTTTCTTATTTAGCTAATGTTTTGATTTTTTCACCATGTACAATCTAAATAGCTAATATACTTTTTTAAAAGCCAATAAGAACATTGGTAGAAATCTTCTACATAAGTACAATACTATGTCTTTGATGATAAAATACTATGTCTTTGATGATAATATATTATGTCTTTGTGCTAGAACATTGTGTTCATTGGCGAGCGAGCGCAGCGAGACATGGTTGACGGCGTGAACCACATAGGATTGCGTAGCAATTCTCGGGGGTTGGCAAGCGTTAGCGAGCAGGGGGCGGAGCCTCCTAGTATATAGAAATTACTCCTTTTTTTTCATTAAATTTTTAGATTATATGTAATTTAAAAAAATTTCAGTTTCAGCTGTATAATGCTCTTTTAGTGATTTGAATTTTTCTTTTTGGAATTTTTATCTTTTTTAATTTGATAATTTAGTACAAGAAATATGTAAATTCACTGATAAATTTTTAAGAAAATGTGGATATCTTAGGATCCAGTACATTTGAGACCATTGAAACATTCTCGTTCTGATTCTAAATATGCAAACCATTTGTCTCTATCACCCACCCTTTTTTTAAATATATTTCAATATAGCCATTTACTGTTGCATTGAGTTTTTATAAAGACATTATTAGTCAAGAAAGTAGTCAGATTGAGTCATCATGTAATCTTTTTAACAATTATTTGAATTTTCATCCAATTTGATTTGCATTGAGCAAATTAAGCCCGAATTTAAAGTAGCTAAATATCTAGTCTATTGTAATTAGATATTAATTATTTTCTTTTCATTTTAGCTTATAACATATCTTTAATAACTCAGTGATTTGAAAAGAAATAAATAAAAAAAGTTTCAATATAGATATGTAAAATTCTTGATCTTTCCTACTCCTTAAAAATCCAAAAACTAAATGCTTCATTGTTTTATTTTTGTTTAATATGATAATTTAAGCAATTTTTTTAAAATTTATCTGAAGATTTTACTTCATTATAAACCAATTCTGAGTTCAACTTTTTACGGATATTTTTTGTGTGCAAGTTTATTTGTCATTTTCCAAGAAACTTACTAAATATCATAAATCAAAATTTTTTTATCTCTGCAGCATAAATGCTACATCACATAACTTCAAATTTCATTACTTTTAGATATTTGTGTATAAAATTAATCATTTGATCAAAGAATTATGCAATATTTTAATTATTTAAACTTTCATGTCATTTTTCATACATAACTACATGTTTGACTTTATTTTTAGCCAGGTAAATTATTATACATTGTTAAAAATTAAATAAATTTTTAAATAGCATAATTACTAAATAAGAATAATTTTAGATCCACGCATATTTGCTTTTGTTTAAAGATTAATTTATTATTAGATGTTTAACAGTGGAAAATATATTTGTTTTTTATTATATTTGTTTAAATTATATTTGTTTTATTTTATGTGCATTGGAATTATTTTATTAGTGTTTGCCAATTTATTTGATTAGACATACAGAATGTAAAACAAGCAAAACATTCATTTATTTAATTTTTTTTTTAAATATACCATTTCTATTTAAGCAAATACTAGATTGTTTCGTGTAAAATTATATATGTATTTTCTCTTTATTCAAGTCTCCTATTGTGGTGTGGAAAATGAAAGCTCCAGAAAAGAAGCCTCTGGTCCGTCGCGAAAAACCTGAAGAAGTTAGAGCTAAAGTACGTAAGGGATCTCAAAAGAAGCACATTGCTCCAATTAAAGCATTGAGTGAATTCCAAAGTCCAGCTGAAAGTGTGTGATTGCCATTATAAACTCTTTTACAAGTAACCAGTGCCTATGGCCAAAGTTAGGAACTGCCCAAGGATTGGGAGGAGAAATTGGACATTTTTCCATTACCTCTAGTGTCTTTCCACTTTTGCCCTATCAAATCAAAGAGAAAAGACTTATCTCTGTTTGAAGTTTTAGAGTTTGTTTGAAGCGCAAAAGAAAAAACAAACTAATATTTTTAATTTTTGAGTCTCGCTTTTTTTTTTTATCAGCCTTTCTATTTGGTGGCCTTTGTCTATGAATATCTCTTAAGAGCCTGGAGTTTTAAGTTTGTTTGGGATTTCATTGAGCGTTCACTATGTTCTTGATTTGTTTGTTACTTACAATGTTTTAGCTTTAAAGTTTCAATGGGAAAGCAGTAGTTGTTAGCTAGGCAATTTCAGTACTACTTTGCCTAAGAAGCTTGATGATGAAAGATTTAAAACTTAAAAAAAAAAAAATTTTTTAAAACCAAAAGAAAGAAGAAAAACTTTACAAAAAATTAGCGATGAGAAAGTACTATTTTTTTCCACTTAAACTATTAACTTAATACTACTTCTAAAGACTTCATAACAAAGCAGTAATAAAAATAAAAATTAAGAATAAGTCCCATGTATCCATCATTATATATATGTGTGAATGTGCTATAATTATCAAATGATCTTTTTTTTCCATTTAAAATCTTGTCTTTTCATTTTACTTTAATTAAAAACTAAATCTAATATAAAGGAAATAAGATAAGCTCATATTAAAAGAAATGTCAATATTTAGAAAACACTGGCTCTTAATTTTAGCATTCGTTATCGTAGCTTTTCTTTCATTCTAATCTTGCTTTTTTTTAACAATTTAAATTTATAAACAAAGCAGAAAAAATTAGCTTTACTTATAATAAAAGGAATGTGAATGTGTAGATAAAAATTTTAGATAGTGACCATTTGAAATGAAAACTCATAATCCGAGAGCCAACAACTTTTCTTAGTTTACTCCATCTGGGATGCATTCTTAAACTACAAATACATAAATTGCAGTTTCCTGGGAATATTCTGGTACCTTATCTTCCTGAGTGATTATCCATTAAAATGTATAACAGCAATGTGTTTAGGGTCAAAAATGCATGCCAGGTGGCGTGTCTGGATGTTTAGGTTTTGGGATCTTGGCCATAATTCTAGAATAATTCTTAATTCATCAATATTTGAGGTGGGAAGTGAACGGGCTCTAGTAAGATTTTCGTAGGCTGTGGTACTTATGTTACAATGTGGTTAGTACATTTTTTATATTTCTGAATTTTATATACATTTTATATATTTATACATTACTTTTAGAGTTTTAATATATGCTTTGACATAGGGATTGCATTCCTTTTCTCCTCAGGCAACTGTTTTATTATTTATTTGGTGGCATTTACATACTTCTTTCTCCACCTTTTTTGAAAACTAGTGTATATCTTGTGATGTGTTTCTCATGCGATTTGGTATGTGTGTATTTTCTATTGCTTCGAAATTTAAAATCATGTATTATGAATAATGTAGGTAATTGTAATAAATAGCAATAAAATGGTGTATTAATTAATCTGAGTGGTAGGTTTTGTTTGATAATAAAAAAATGAAACAAAATTGCTTGTTGTAACGCGGGAGTTTTGTAAAGAAAAAAATATCTCTAATTGAATGAAATTAGATTTTAAAATATTACACCATTTGTGGATGAATTTATTTTGAGAAATCTTTGCTTTTTGTATATTTTTATAGTTTACTTTCTTGTTTAAAAATATTATAGCGCTTTATGAGTATATTGTGCGGTAATATTTTTGTTTATTTGATTTTTATATTTTATAAAAAAATATATCTATCTTGTTTATTTTGACTTTGTATATTTATAAACAATTAGTCTCAGTAATTTGTTGAAAGTTCGCCTGTATGAAATAAACATTGTGTAAAAGTAGATGGGCTGTTTATTTAATTGGATTCCAAATTTTACACTAATTTAAGATTCAGAAAATAATGCAGAAATTCTTCACTAAAATACAAAAAGTCTTCATAGGCAACTACAGGATGCTTAGCATTTTTGAAAAGTGCTTAAAGGTGCTTATTTTCGTTTTTTAAGAGCCCTTAAAGGTGCTTTTTTCATTGGGTGTTTTTAAAAAGTGCTTAATTTTCCCTTTTTCAAAATGAGAATTTTCCTTTACTATGTTGATTTTCGCTTTGAATTATGCAGAAAGACACAGTTCACATTGTTCTGTTCAACGTTTTCATAATTAATGCAACCCCAATCTATTTCGGCGTGTAGTCAGTCCGTAGCGTATGAAAACACCATTCGTTTTACATGATTCAAAATTTCATGATTTTTGACAATTGTCAAAAACAATGCCAAAATGTTTTTTTTTTTTTTCATGACGGTTAAAAGAAGTCAAAACTGTCGATTGTCAAAAACTTTCCAACTCTGCCTAATTATATTTTTTTAAAGTTCTTGAAAATATTTTTTGTTGAATAATTTGGCTACACACCCTGTCATGGTGGGTAGCGTTTTTAAAAAGTGCTTATTTTCGTTTTTTAAAAGCCCTTAAAGGGGCTTTTTTCATTGGGTGTTTTTAAAAAGTCCTTAATTTTCCCTTTTCGAAAAGGAGATTTTTTTTTCTTTACATATCGATTTTCGCCACGTATTATGCAAAAACGTGCATTTCATATTGTTCAATTCAACGTTTTCACGATTTATTTTGGTGTCCATAGCGTATGGAAGTGTCAATCATTTTACGTGTTTGATGAAATACTTGCTAGTAGACATGGGTTTGGTGAGACTCTTGCACTGTCATGTGCAACTCTGCTGCATTTTGCAAGATATTCTCAATTTCGGGCTACATTTTTCACCGCCTGTTATCGAACCAAAAAAACCTCTTGGTCTTTTTATAATGTCTAATATAATAAAGAAAAGAGTTCTTTGTCAGAAACTGATTATTTTAACATGATCATGTAAAGTCTTTCATAATTATTTTGTTAATGTATATAGTGCTTAAAAGGTGCTTATTTTTTGTTGAAAGATTTGGCTTTTGTTTTGGCAATGTAAAGTCTTTCATAATTATTTTGTTAATGTATATAGTGCTTAAAAGGTGCTTATTTTTTGTTGAAAGATTTGGCTACGCGTGGATATATTTTTTATTTTTAAGAATTATTAGACAAAATATTGCCATAACGTTATATATTATTAATGTGTGAGAATATTTTTTTATTTTTACAAAATGTCTTGAGTAAATCCATAGGTATTTGACTGAGATAGTAAGAAGAAAAAATAGAACTTGCATTAAAATCGCTTAATTTTAATAGTAATCTCCTATTTAGGTAATATAATTAAATAAAAATTCATGAACACATTATAATTATGGAAGGGCTTGTGGCAAAATACTAAAAAGGAAAAAAGAATTTCCCTTTTAAAAAAAAAACCTTTTTTATTAATTATTGTTTGTATTAATTTTTTTTTAAACTGAAAAATCCTTTGGTCACTTGCATACTTTTTTTTTGAAAAGTAATACTGACGGTAAAGAAAATTTTTTAAAAAAAAACAACTTTTCACAAAATATGAATAAAAAACACATTCTTGTAAATTGGATTTGTCAAAGAAACTTGAAATATGTATATTTTTGCAAAAACCTGAAAAGTTATTAGTAAATATTAACAATAAAAAAAAATTATATGTTGTACAAAAAGACACAAAATTCTATGAAATTGTGTCATTATATGCGTCACTGTTTTTCTAATTGAAATCAAAAAGCAGTCAAAATGACTTCCTTGGGCAATCTAGTGTTAAAAAGTTCTTTTTAATATTTTAAAAATTTAAATTTTTAACTTATAATTCATGTAAAAAAATTAATTCTTAAGCATATATATTTTTGGAGAAAAAAAAGTTTTGAAATTTACTTTCTTTTTCAAATAGGCATATTTTTGAATAGCATGCAACTTGGATTTTGATAATCTTCATATAGTGTTTCATCTCTTTAACTTACAGTTTTATAAAAATTTTCGCAAAATAATTTTATAAAATTAGGACTTGGGTAACAAGTAATATTTTTATAACTCTAAAACATATTTTATAAATGTACAATTATATAAAAGTTGTTTTCAGAGTTATTTTAATGTTGTGGGGAGCATAAAAAGCTTCAAAAAAGTTAAAAAGGGAACAAAATTTCCTACTTAAAAGGCTTTTCAAGTAAATTGGGGAAAATCTTTTGCTATTATAATTTACATCTAGATATGTGATTAAATAACCATCCAAAATTTTTGAGACCAAGATGACAAATAGAAGACAACGAAATTGCTGGACCTTAACGAATAAAATGAGATACTTTATTTCTTTTAATATTTAATTTGTGAAACCAGCAAAGGATATTTAACTTGAAGAAAAATGCATTTGATATAGCGAATATTGCGTTTGAGACGCAAGAGAAAGACCCTTAGAGGAAATTATCTTCACAAACAAAATACTTTTTGAATATCTTGAAGATTGAAATGAATAAGCCTATAAAGGTAAGATTGATTTAAATTCATCGAAAAATGTTAATGGCATAAGATAAAAGTTTGAAATTCAACCAATTCATGGTAATGTCTTCCTTACTATTGCATACCTGCCAACATTGGAAATATAAAATAACGGAGATTTTACTAACAAAATTTTTTAGGCTACGAGTAAAGTTTTGATACATCTATGCATAATCATGTAGGTTAAAAAGTGATACTCAAATTTGGAAATGATATAAGCATTTACAGTTTGTGAAGTAAAATATATATATAAATCTTAATCTAAAGAAGATTTTTTGAAACCATTAACTGTAATTACTTAAACTATTTTATTTTATAACCGTTTTATTTTATAACCCAATTTTGGGTTTACGACTACCAATGATCCACTCCGTAGCCTTGTAATTTTGAACACATTCCAGAAGACAAGGGAACTCCTGGATCAAGTATTGGGAGAAATTTGCCTTCATTGAGGACTTTTTGATGGAACTAAACCGCATTTGAATTGCATGGAGAGGAAAACCATGTTAGCCAAAAGGCAAGGGGATTCTAACCTGTGGTCCGTCTATCACTGAGGATATTTTACATCAGAACTGTGGTCGGCGCAAGCTGGATGCGGATTTTGTATTGACCAGTCATCGTTGGGATTCGAATCTGGTTATGAGGCAAACCCTCTATCCCCTGAGCCATCACGGTTCGACTTAAACTATTAACACTTAACATACTGCAGTACTAGCAATGGCACCATCTGTTGAGGAATAAGAGAAGTATTTATGCCATCAGTGGATATTTTATCACCAAATTTTTTTTAAATTTCTTTAGCAAATACAGAGTAATTTGAGAATATTCGGGTAAACAAAAGTCTTCGTTAAAAAACAGGAGATTTGAAAGATATGCCTATTGTCAGGTCGATGGTAAAATAGTTCAGAAAAATATGCATTAAGAACCTAACAATATTGGAATAAACTCATTTCACTGGAATACTTCTACTTTTAAGAAAATGATTTAACTCAAACAAAAACAGGTTAACGAACCTTTATAATTTTAAGAAGTTTACCAATTTTAAATCTTAAGGTTACATTAAGACCAAAAATTTAATACTGACTAGAAATATACTCAAAAAACTGCTCCTCACACTATTGTATTGATATATTTTGCTTTGGCTACATTGATATAATATCAGAAAGCAATCTTTTTTGCGGTTATAATCGTGTGGGCTGATGAAAAGATTATATCTTTTATTTTCGGATTTTTAAAATTTTTTATCCCCCCCCCCCCCAATTGTTTTTGTTTCTTCTTATTATTATTTTTCTTTCACCCCTTTTTCATATGTCTGTAATTTTCCTTTGTTTTATCTTCATTTTGAACTTATATATATGTGTATATATACACCGAAGAGCCATTACATTATGACCACCCTCCATCTGTAACAATGGGCTCGTCCAGGTTTTCATGGTTTCTCGTCCAGGAACAATGTTTTCATGGAGCACATTAGGACCCATAATCCTCATAGAACAATCCCTGACGTCTGTAAGCTACTTGAACATAGTTGCAGACCAGGTTCACCCATTCATGGCAACAGTTTTTCC